ACTGAATTGCAAACTACCTGCAATCCTAGAAGTTCAGTTGATCCATGAACATAGGAAAGAATTTCAATCCGAGACACCACACCACTTGTTACAGAGATTGTATCCCCACCGATTGGATAACCAACAACTGTAACAGCGTCTTGAAGTGCAGGCAAATCCCCAAATTCTACAGGGGACACACCTTCCCAGAATTCATCATCATCCACAGTTAGCAAAGCTGCATCATCATCATACGAAACAATGTTAACCTCAGAAAGCAAGTATTACTTACCCCACTCCTCCATAAATTTTTAAAAGTGTCATTACTCAGTAAGTATAACTTGAGAATCACTAGAAAATATACTAATTTGCGGACACCAGAAGAGGAAAGTCTTTTCGTAATTTTTTAGCTACATCTACCAAGACTCATTATGAGACCACGGCTTTCCTAGGTGAGGAGCTTATATAGTTCAAAGAAACACTAATTTTGCTAGGGGTGCCAATAACCTAAAGCTCACTCAAAGAAAAGGAGTGGTCCAGAAGCCACAAGGCCCCCACAAGTTCCAAATGCTATGCATTGAACAATAAATTCTTTATTCATTATTTTTAATTACTTGTAGTAACTCAACCAATTACAGGAATGTTCTCAAAAGGTTTTTCATTAACTTTATCCTATGTCTACTATCTTTGAGTTGGAAAATTTTGCAAGCACCATAGGCCACATACCCATAACGTAGGCATAACAATATATTTCCAACGTCCTCATATAATATTTTGTTTCCAAATACAACTCCTTAAATCAAGAAGAAAAATGTACCAGTTACAGAACCACTTCTATATAGCAATTACTTCTATCACAATCTTTTAGTAATTACTTCTGTAGTAATTCGAATATTTACACTGTTGACTAGCCATCAGATAAGTAAACAATGAGCAGTCGAAATCAGTAATAGCTCTACCTAAAACACCTAGCAAACAGTCCTAACTCCTAATAAGAGCACAAACGGCAAATCCACAGAATAAAACTGCCACCAATACCATGACATGCAATGTATACGTCTGATTCAGATACCAAACCTTTAGAAGGAAATCAGTTTGAAATTACCCAATCAACCAGTTCAAGACCCTCACCAATGCCACACTGCGTGTCAACAGCAAGCACATTTGCCACATATAAAGTGTGGGAATCCCCCTTCATCAACTTAACATGTGTGTAATTCCAAACATACTATGCACTAGTCAAGACCCTCCTGCCCCAAATGATAAGTCCACTACTGTTTGAACGACACTTCTTCTTTCTCTGCCATGGCAGAGAGTAATCTGTCTCGCCATGGACACAATAACTCATGAATTGGTATCATTATTCTCAACTCTCACAAAACATTATAGGAAGGAGTGCTATTGTAAATCGTGCAATCAGTAGCAACACAAGATATTAACACTACACCATACCAGCAGCTTAACGGAATCAGAATCAAACACCATATCTAGAAAATTGCAACATGAAAAATAAAATTTCATATAAATCCATATCGATGTTCAAATGATCCACAAACACTGTCTATGAACCATATGTGTAACTCAATTATTCCAATACATTATTTAATTTATTTAGTTTACATAAATGCTAAAACATTTTATCACATTGCAGCAGCACATGTCATTTACACATACCCAAGAAACAGAAACAGGCAATAAAACATGCTCTATCTAACACCAAATAAACAAGTACCATATCAAAAAGTAATGACAAAGTACCTTTAATGTTCAGCACAACCAGATGGACAAAAGGTTAAGGTCCAAAAACACTAAATTGAGGGGTCTTGCATTCAATTCCTATTCTATTTTTACATATCTCCTCTTAATCATAGCTACAGGCCCAGCACTGGCAATAAGCTGATTACCGAAAAATAGATCTTTATGTTATTATGTGTTGCTTCTCCAAAATATAAACACAAACCAAATTACTACTGCACAGTTTGAGATAAATCCATTATTTCATCCAAATTCAATAAAAAAAAATGTAGCAGCATTGAATCAAAGGAAAACCGGAAAAAAGAGCCTCACCAATGTCACATTCCGTGCCAATAGCAAGGACCGTAGCTAAGTATTTCGTATCAGAACCCCTCTTCTTCAACTTCACCTGCGTAAAGTGCTCGACAGAATGTGCATTCGTTAGAACCCTCCTTCCCTTGATGACAAACCCACTGCTGCTCGAACTATACTGGCGTTTCCTCTGCCACGGCAAGGAGAAGTTCGGATCGGTATGAACGCAGAATACCTTCACCACCGCGTCCATGGACGGCACACCTCGAGCCACACCCGCCGAAACCGTCGCGGGTAGGGTTATGCCATTGGCAGCGGCCGCGGCCGCGGCCGCGGCGGAGGTGGGAATTTCCGGTTTTGATTTCTTGCGGGGGCGGCCGCGTCGGCGGTCGCGGTGGTCGGATGGAGGGGGAGAAGAGGCGGGCTGGATGAGCTCGACGCTGTTGACGGAGAAGACGGCGTCGTTGTCGGCAGCGGCGGCGGCCGCGCGCGGAGACCCACCTGCGTCGTTGTTTCTGTCGAGCACCGCGGTCTCCAACGGCTGGATCTTGGGGCGGCGGCCGCGCTTCCGTTGGGTCTCGCTGCACATCGGGTTTTGAATCTGATGGAAATGATGAAAATAGGAGTTTTGTGCCTGAGGGTTTATAAGAAGATTTATGTTGCAGGCCCCCTCACGACGTCGTATGGTTTGATTTTTCACTAATTAATTTGTCCAAAAATTAATTATAATTATCTTCACGGTTTTGCTATGGAGCCATCGGATTGCTCGACTTATGGAGTCATCCACACTTATTCACCAATAATGTATTAACACGTATCCTACAATAAATACAATTTGGACAGGTGTCAACACATTAATTGGTAGATGGCTCCATTAGAAAACCATCCGATGACTCCATAGAATTTTTGTTATTTTCATTATCCCAATTATTTTCAAGAAGCAAACTTTTGAATATGTTATAGAGGTGGTTAGAAACAAGATAGCAAGCTGGAGGAACAATTTCTTATCTCTGGCTAATGGAACATCTTCAGGTATTCATTGGAAAACATGTCAGTCCATGACTACCTTAGGAACTTGGTGGTCTTGGGTTTCATGATTTCAAACCAATGAAGCTCTTATTTTGAAGCAGATTTGGAGAATTGCCACAAAACCAAATTTGCTAGTGAGTAAGTTTTTGAAAGGAAAATACTTTCCATCTGATAACATTTTCTGTGCTCATAAAAAGCAGAATGACTCTTGGCTCTGGGGGGACTTGGATTAATGTGAAGGACAAATACCAAAGGTGCTTTAGGAAGATTGTGGGAAATGGTCTACAACTAGGATTTGGTAGGATCCTTAGATACCAGGCTACATAACAGGTATTCCTACTTGCAGAACTGATAATCACTAAGATATTCAATATGTTTGGAAGCTTATGGAAGCAGGTGGTTGGAGGTGGAACACTGATTTGGTGAAAAGGATTTTTTGTGAAGAGGACAACAAGGCCATCTTACAAATCATGTCTTTGAACCCAACCAAAGCTGATAAGTGGACTTGGGATGATCACACCAAAGGAGAGTTTGTGGTAGCAAAAGCATACTCCAAATTAGTTGAAAGAAAGTTCAGACATATGGATGTGGCAGAAGGCAGTGATCAAGCTTTCCTTAACGAGAAGATCAGGCTGAGGAGTTGGAAGCTTCACATCAAAGGCAAGCTCAAGCACTTTGTTTGGAGATGTTTCTCTAACACATTACCTGTTAAAGTCAATCTGAGAAGAAAAGGCATGGAAATGAGTTGCATATGCCAGAGATGTGGAGAAGAGATGGAATCCATTGAACATCTGTTTTTCAGATATAAGACAACTATGTTGATATGAAGCTTGCTTCCATTACTTGGGATTTCAGCCAAGAGAACACCAGCAGTTTCAGGGTATGGTGGCAGAATGTGTGTTTAGTGGACGAGAAGGAAATTTCAGAGGCTCGTATTCAGTTGACAACATACATTCTTTGGTGGTTATGGAAGGCACGAAATTTGTGGATATTTAAAGGATAATGGCTTCCAGAGAAACAGATAGTAAAGGCAGCAGCTAAAGATTGGATAGAGTTCAGTTGTCAAAGAAGCAGATGACATGGAGAGAAGCATGTGAGGGTGTCTAGGTCCATTTGAGGTTTCAGTGGACACTCACGTGCGGCATCAAGATGTTTCCTTCTCGCTTTTTTGTACATTTGAGTCTTGTTCCTTTTATTCAGTTTGATTTTGTCTTGTTCATGTCCTAGTGATTGTGCTATGCTGAGGTCTTATGTATTCTATGTTTTCTGTTGGAGTTTGCTAGCATGAGGTTGTATTTGAGTGGTTAAGGTTGCAGCAGGTTAGGCTGCCTTAACCACTGTGATGTCTTGTATTGATACTTTGGCTTGAGTGTATTAGGTCTAGGCCACCGTGTTGTGTGGTTCTCAGTTCCTTGTAACATTGAGCTATTTAGCTCTCGGATGTATTTGTGTTCTTATGGTTGATATAAAATTTCCTATCGTTGCGGAAAAAAAAAAAAATTATATATTGATAAATATAGATTATTCATATTTACTTTAGGGACTAGGCAGAGATTCAAATTCTAATTGTGCAGGATATTTTTTTATTTCTTAATTTTTATCCAATAAAATGTACATAGGTACAAATATCAAATAAATACACCAATAAATTATTAACTAGTTTTACAATAATAATATAAAATAGTCTAACTGTTAAACAATCTTACTTATGAGCATATATGCGGACTTTATGAAATATCAAACACTACAAAATTAAGTACGTAAATATGTGATATTTCATAATATAAAAATATATTTTTGTTAAAAATATATGATGGGTCAAGCTGCATAAGTAGAAATGTGAAATTTTATAGCATAAAAGTACATTTTCATTAAAATATTTTTTTTTTCTTGGAACGATAGTATATACTAATAAAAACAAGTATTTGCATATTAGAGTACGAATAACAGCTGAATCCATCAAATACTAAATGAATATAGGTGGTCTACTCAGTAGTAGTCGAGCGGAACACAAAAACAAACATAAACTAAATAAAACTTTTAAAAACTCCCACACATGAAGACTAAAAACTCCAAAGACTGAAAAACAAAAACACAAGAAACACACTAGAGGAAAAAAAAAATAAAAACAATTAGTAAAATAAAGTCTCACATCCTCAAAGGAATTGTCACCACCACCAAGGTGACACAAGTTTTAAGCCCCAAGAGTCACCCTAACATAGGCTATCAAAAACTTAAAAACAACCACGTAGGGTCTAATTTATAAGTTTGTTAAAAATGTGAGTGATTGAGAAAATTTGTAAAAGTTATAAGAAATAGAATATTCTCAAAAGAACTTTTGAGTTTGAGAATGATTTTATCAATTGGAGAAAAAATATTATTTAATGTGATAGTTACTGTTGAATGAGTTTGAGAATATCTTTCTCGATTTGAGATAGTATAAAGAAACACTCTAAATAAAACTATGAGATTTTTTGAAAAATCAAATTGTATGTACATTCTCTCTCTACAGTTTTGCTATGAAATAGTGGAGTCAACCTTCTACACAAGCCAAGTAAAGAATATCATATTATCTAATTACTTAAAAGATACAAATATTTTTTTATTGGTATTTTTCTTTTCGTGTGTAGAAGGTTGACTCCACTATGAAATTAACTGTTGGTTTGATAACAAAACTTGCTTTTTATATGGTGTCATTAGGCCTTTTATTAGTCCAATCTAACCAATAGACTGACATAGTATTATTATTATTTATAAAAAAAAGTCAAACTTTAAAAAATTATATAAAAAATTTTGAATTTTTATGACTAAGTATGCACTTTTTTTTTTTTCAAATAATATGATAGGCCGACCAGACCAACATCGTAATTATATTATCTCACAAATAAATTTATGGTATATTGTGTCTTTGGTTGTTTCATGTAATATAAATGAGATTAGAGATTATGATAGTGATGGCCATTAGTTATAGCATTTGATTGCTTATATACGCAATCTTCTTTTATATATGAAATCATGACATCATATTAAAAAAAATACGATTCTAGATTACGCAATTGTTCATGCACCTGAAATATTTCAACTCTGGTAAAAAAATTACATTGATAGAAAGTTATCTTTTGAGTTGATTGTCAACATGTTATAATAAACAACCTATATAGAAAATTTGCACATTTTACATCACATTATAGCAATGTGACAAGTCAGCATTTTCACTGTAAAGTCCATATAAAAAAGTAACTAAACAAATAAAACATTGTTTTACATTGGTTCCAAACAAATTAGATGTAAAAATTTAAACTTTCTACATCAAAGTTATTAAAATCGGTATAAAAAGCAAACAGTATGATTTATGAAATCATCCACAATTCTTCTTCTTCTAGTGGTGTTAATGGGAAAACACTGCCATTAAACATCTTATAAAGAAATGATCCTATGCTGTAAAAATGTCTGTACAATGACAAAAGTTAGAACAAGCTTGTGAGGGCCCCTTTTCGAAAGGCATCAAGGGTGCAATGCATATAGCATGATGCAAATTACTTTATAAATCTCTCATTTTTATCTTAAACCTTTAAAATGCAGTTTTTGTAACGTGATGGTTATTCCATGTGACATAATGATTTCAAATATTACATTTAATTTCATGTATTGAATTGATATATACCAAAAATATACTTATACATGTACAATTTTTCTTTTGTTTTTCACTACCTCTTGATAATTCAATTTTGCTTTTGAATTATTGAATGACTAGTATCAATTCATGATTCTTCACAAATGATGTATTGACAAGCACACTAATATAAAAATATTTATTTTTATGTATCAATTCACCAATTTATGCCAAAGCTAAAAATTGAATGCCTAAAGTATAATTTAAAAGACGCCACAACTTTGCCATAAAAGAGCAACTACAAGTGAGAATCATGAGAATCATGTGACATTGTGACATACACCTCACTTCCTTTCCTTCTCTCTGTACACTACACACCATAAAAAGCCCACAGAAAAAGAAATAAAAACTAAAAAAGAAAAAAAAAAATCATCCTTGCCAGCCAATCCAAGCATCCAACCACTATATAGGAGAGGCCCAAAACCAAAAAGGTTCCATTTTTCGAGCGTTTGATTTCATATTTTGCCAATCTCACTTTTGGGTTTTGACTAAAGACTAGATTTTTTTATTTTTATTTCTTTTCCTTCAATAGCGCCTCAGTTCGTGTGTTTGATGCTAAAACAACAATGGCTTCAAGCGCATCGAGGTTCATGAAGTGCGTGACTGTGGGCGATGGCGCTGTTGGCAAGACCTGTATGCTTATCTGCTATACCAGCAACAAGTTCCCCACTGTAAGTATTTTCACCTCGGAGTGTGTGTGTGTGTGTTCTTGAAGGGGAAATTCAGTAAATTCTTCACCTTTTTTTTTTCTTATGAAAACAACGTGTGCTTTTGTTTGAGCCCCTTTGTGTATGTGTGTGTTTGCAGAATGCAGATATTTGTTGGAACGAGAAAATGCTGTTTAATCATGTGCAGATTTTTTTCTAATTCCCTAACGTTATCTGTTTTGCAGCTTTTTCACTGTTTCTCTATAGCTGTCTTTACCTTTTTTGTTTAAACAAATTGGCTAAAGATGGAATCTTTATTTCATTTTTCTTCAGGGTTTCTGCACTTGGTATCATTCTTGAATTTTTTTGATCTGGGGTTGTTTGCCCATTTCCAATTTGTGCCAATTTATTCTGTTATTCTGAATAATTTATTATTTCTTTTGTTAGGACTATATACCAACTGTGTTTGACAACTTCAGTGCAAATGTGGCGGTTGAAGGAACAACAGTCAACTTAGGCCTTTGGGACACAGCAGGTATGCCTCTGCTTTTTTACATTTTTAATGGAAATCCTGGGGAAAATTCATGGATTTCTATTTCTCTGAGTCATGAATAATTGATTAAAATATTGTTTTTGGGGTTGTAGAATTAAGAAAATGGTTATCTGATATGTGAAATGTAAATAGGTCAAGAAGATTACAACAGGCTAAGGCCCTTGAGCTACAGAGGAGCTGATGTATTTGTGTTGGCATTTTCGTTAGTTAGTCGAGCTAGCTATGAGAACATACTTAAAAAGGTGAGACTATATATTTTGCAGTTGTTCTCATATGTATTTGTTTTTGAGTTTCTAACTACGATTTCTTACTGAATAGTATGGAGCAAGTTTTAATCTTTTGATGGTATTTATTGGCAGTGGATCCCTGAACTTCAGCACTTTGCTCCTGGAATTCCTTTGGTACTCGTTGGCACCAAACTAGGTATATTCTTAAAAGTCGTTGGATCAAAATATTGTGTTTTGTTTTAGTATACCGATTTGTATACGACTGATTGCATGAATTACATGTGTCAATCAAATATGTGGGGGCCTCATTGTATTTATTCAGCATGATCAATGACTGGTGAATGATCAACTGAAAATAGTAGTAATAATCATTTTCCCGTTGCACGAGTAGCAACTTTGATTCAAGTATATTTAATGTCGCTTGAATTACGGGTAACTAAATGTAAACGGATTTCATATGTGGGCGTGAATTGGTTGCCTTTTCTTTGAATTGAAAC